ATTGATTCTAAGCATTTTTGGAAAAAAATAGGTCGTGAAACCATCTCAGCTACTAGTTTACTAATTTCTTCAAAGAAAGCTTTTATTCCGCCAAACTCATTCTTCAACTCACCAACTAATTTCTTAGTTCAACCAGTTGATTTAATAGTTCAACTGTTTTTGCTTCATTTTCCGATTTGAATTTGACCATCTCTTTGGTGAGATATCTAGTTCATGTTCATCATCTCGACGTCAACATTGGCTCAATGATTAATTGCAATCTCGGTAGATAATTCATGAGCGACCTCTTTAAGTAAAGACATAGGAGTTTGATGTACTTCACACATTTAAGCAACAGTGGGAAGTTGTTGCACTTTTCCAAGTAACTGATTAGGATATTCCCTTCGAAAGGGGCATATGCAAGTAACACAACACCATATTCCGCTAGCACATGTAAGACCATTGAGCAAAAAAGCTCATCTTTACCGTCAACAGTCGAGTTTATAGTTTGAGCTTCAAGAGTTTTCATAGTTGCAAGTTCAATAGGAAGCTGGGTGACTTCCTCGAGAATTATTTTTTTTCATGCTCCATACTTATTGGAACTGATTGGACAACATTCTAACTAATTTTCTCAGCAATATTTTTTTCATAAGCAATTTTAGATGGAGCATGGTGATTAATAGATCACCCCTCACCCATAAGCTCACTCAAAGTAAATTGCACTTTATTGTTAAGGTGTTCATTCCCTTAAACTTATCTATCATATGTCTAGAGGGTCTAGTCACTACATCGCAATTGTTCTCAAAATTGCGTTGTCTCCACAACAAGATAAGGTTCAACTTCGACTGGTGCTTTCACAATGACTAGAGTTTTAGCGGTGTAGAAGGGTCTTGAAATAGGGGGACAAGAAGTCCATTCCTAGGAACTTTTTCTTGTTCTTTCTCTATGTTCACATTTTGTGATTCTTTGAGCTTTCTTTTTTTCTTTCGCTTACAAATAAGGAAGCACCAAGTTTTTCTTTTGGAATTTCGATTTGATCCATTGTGACATCCTTCATTTGTTGCAATGATCACGGAAAGAACAAAGAGAGATGAATGAAAAAAAAATTTGGCTATTGAGAAGAAAAAACTCTTTTGTGCTTTATTTATAAATGATAGTAAGGGACACAAAATACGATATACTTTTAAATATTTACTCTTGTATTGATAATTTTTTTGATCTCATATTATTTTTGCAATTTTCTGTCATATCATTAAACGAATTAAGGAACTATATATGTATAGCTGAATATGTGACCACAGATTGAGATTTGAATAGAATATTTCAAATATATTAGAATAAAGCTCAACAATGCAACTTGGCAAATTAGCGCAGACGACCTACTCGGCCAATTAGTTCAACAAACTAGTTTGTTGGGCTAATTAAGCGAGTCAAGTTGAATTCATAAACTCTTATGATAGTCGAATGACATTATGCAACCTATGCTACACATTTAACTATGACATTGTAATCATTTTAATATATTTTCTTTTTTCTTTTTTAAAGGGGGGAGGGGGGGTGGCATTTGCATACATACCACCCAACTCTTATGTATTTACATATTTACTACCTAAACTTTAATTCGTACATTTATACCACCAAAATATTTCATATCACATCGAAAATACCACCATTTTAACATTTAAAAAGTGAAATACACCTTTTCATGCATAGGCAAGATGATATGTATGTAAAAATTAAAGTTTAGGTGATATGTAAATACATAAGAATTGAGTGGTTTGAATTTTTCTTTTTTTATTGGTGTAGCCATTTATGTAAAAGACCTTGAGGTCAGCTCAAGCCTATATATAGGGGAGGCCACCAGAGGGGTAGGGCGACTCTTTTTCTGGAATTTCTAGAGTAACTCTCTACAAACACTCCCTACAATCTCTTTGTTCCTACTTTTTTTTTCTTTTACATGCTCTTACCTCTTAGAGAAATAATTTTTATTGGAGGAGATTTAAATAGACATGTCAGTAGAGTGGTAGATGATTTTCACAATATTCATCATGGTGGCTACAGTTTTGGAGTGATTAATGATGAAGGTAGAGTTATATTAGATATTGTTATATTAGATTTTGCTTTAGCGTATGATTTTGTTATTGCTAATACTTTATTTAAAAAAAAAAAGAGATAGAGCATATTATTATTTATAAGAATGGTTCTAATAAAACACAAATTGATTATTTTCTTATGAGAAGAAGAGATTGTTGAGAATGTAAAGATTGTATGATCATTCCAAGTATGAATTTAAATACTCAACACCGATTATTAGTTCTGGATTTTATGATGAAGAGTTGTAAAATAAAGAATACTATGAATTATTGTCATAAAATAGATGGGGGCACATAAAAGAGAAATAAAATTATTTTTATGAGTAAACTTCAAGATTTTAAGCTTTGTGATGTTCATGAAGAAATAAATTCTGTGGGATAAAATAACAAATTCTATTAAACAAGGGGTAAAATATGTACTTAGAGAATTAAAAGAAAAAAAATTTTATATATAAAAATAATGGCTGGTGGAATAAAATTGTGCAAAAAAAGATAACATATAAGAAGTTATGTTATAAAATTTGGTTTAAATTTAAAAAATTAGAGAACTGAGAAAAATATACAGACCCATAGGGAGTCTAAGAGAACAATTTGTGAAACTAAAAATTCTGTTTTTAGTGATCTTTATAATATGTTAGATACTAAAAATGATGAAAAATATATGTATAAACTAGCCAAACAAAGAGAAAAGAAATTAATGATTTAACTCAAGTAAAGTATATTAAAGATGAAAATCTAAAGGTGTTTTCCTTAGAAAACGATATTCAATATAGGTGAGTGAGCAATTTTGATAATTTTTTCAATAAAGTTTTTGAAAATACGATCGACTTTAGTGTTCTTAATATCGCTAATAATAATAAAACATTTCATTTTTATCGTTGCATTAGTAAAAAAATAGTTGAGAAGACTAAAGAAAATTAAGGGTGGAAAGTTTTTAGGGCCTGACGATATCCTAGTTGAAGTGTGGAAATATTTAGGAGATTTGAGAGTTTCTTGGCTTATTAAACTCTTTAATATTATTTTAAAAACTAAAACAATGCTTGAGGAATAGAGGGCATCCCCATTTTTAGGAATAAAGGGGATGCACAAGAGTGTGCAAATTATAGAGGAATTAAGTTGATGTGCATACTTTAAAATTATGGTAGAGGGTAATTGAACATAGTTTAAGACGCATTATCAGTTTGGATTTAAGCTGGACAGGTCTACTATGAAAGCTATGCATTTTTTGAGAGGTTTGTTGGAGAATTACATAGAAACTAAGGAGGATCTACATATGATTTTTATTGATTTAGGAAAAGCTTACGATAAAGCTCCAAGAGATAGCCTTTAGAAAGTTCTAGAGAAGAAAGGTGTTGATATGACTTATATTCAAGTCATTAAAGATATGTATGCTTGAGTTGTTACTTGTGTTCAAACAGAAGGTGGATTGACCAAATATTTTTCTATTTTAGTTGGATTACATCAGGGATTGACTTTAAGCCCATATCTATTTTGTTTTATCATGATTTTTATTGATTTAGGAAAAGCTTACGATAAAACTCCAAGAGATAGGGGATGTTATTAGTAGAATTGAAGTTGGTTGATTGAATTGGAGGAATGCAACGGTTGGTCAAACGTTTGAAGTGAGGTTGATATAGATGGGAATGTTATCAGTTGAATTAATGTTGGTTGGTTGAAGTAGAGGAATGCAACCGGTCTTGTTCAAAGTGATGGTGATATAGATGGGGGTGTTTTTAGTAGAATTCAAGTTTGGTTGGTTGAAGTGGACGAATGCTCGGTCCTACTGTGTGATAGAAAAGTACCGCTTCAATTGAAAGGAAAATTTTATAAGATGGTGGTGAGACATGCAATGCTCTGTAGCGTTGAATGTTGACCTTTAAAAGAGAAGCATAAAACTAAGGGTGTGTTTGAGACAGCTTGTGCGTTTCAGGATAAGCAGTTTATCCTGAAACGCAGCCCGTGGGCGGGGGCGGGCCACGGGGTTCGACCCGCAGCCTGCGTTTAGTGTAAAACCCCAAACGCGGTTTCGAATAAACTTGTGAAACGTGCAAACCAAACGATTCAGAGGCGTTTAGAGACTTGCAATGCTCTGTAGCGTTGAATGTTGACCTTTAAAAGAGAAGCATAAAACTAAGTGTTTCCGAGATGAGAATGCTTAGGTGGATGATTAGCTTTACACTTAAAAAGACAAAATGCAGAATGAATACATCTGTGATAGGGTTGGTGTAGCTCTTGTGGCGGACAATTAGAGGGAGTCGTCTTAGATGGTTTTGCTCAAATATAGCGTCGACCATCTGATGATCCAGTTAGGAGGCTAGATGTTTTAGATTCGATTTATGTTAAGAAAGGTAGAGGTAGAACTTGAAAGACTTGGGCATATTGTATAAAAAATGATCTTAATTCTTTAGAATTAAATGAAAATTTGACATTCAATGGGACGCAATTGAGAAAAAGGATTTATATAGTTGACCTTACTTGGTGGGATAAAGGCTTGTTGTTGTTGCTGTTGTACAAGCCCTTACCTAGGTATTGTAAGACCACAGACAATTCAAGATTCAGCAGGTTTCAAGTGAAAGGCATGGAATTTCACTATATGGCTAAGTTTGTGGGTTATTTTGGAATGGAATAGATTGAATGCATATTGAATTGACTGTTACAGGAACACTGATGTGATGAAAATAATCTTAGTCTGTATGTTTGTCTAATTTATAAGCACTGACAATTGTTATCAAGTTAGGTGCTTTGGTTTATTTCAAAGTATCAACTATTAATACTGCACAATAAATAAGGTAGATTGCACATTTAAAATTTGAACCTAATTAACAAGTTTGAACTCATTTATCAAGCATTCTCATGGGCTACAAAAGTACCACGTTTCCCATAAATATATATATATTTGTGATTGCCTAAAAACTTTTGTTTTTCAGGCAGCTGACTTTAATGTGACGGCGGCCCAACAAGGAATTGTTTATATTGATGAAGTTGACAAGATCACTAAGAAGGTTCTATAAATTCAAGATGAATTGTGTTATTATACAATTTTGTGATTGAACTTTTCCTAAAATGATATTTTTTTTGCATTTTGCACAGGCTGAGAGTCTAAACATTAGCAGAGATGTATCTGGGGAAGGAGTTCAACAGGCATTGTTGAAAATGCTTGAAGGAACAGTAAGCGATTGCGCACACATTTCCAAATAACATTTTTTTTTTCTTTGCGCTTAAATTTGTGCTTTTCATATTTTCTGTTTATGTTGTTTTTTCCTATTCTTATAAAATTTGCTTGTGGAAAAGAAATAAACATTACCCTCCCACTCCCCCCCCCCACC